CAGCCACTTCTCAACTTCTCGTGGCAAAAAGCAAAGTAGCCCCAGTTCAAACTATCAGCTTACCACGGTTGGAACTCTGTGGAGCTGTCCTCGTCAGCAAACTCGCTCACCAAGTTCAGGAAAAACTCCATCTAAAGGATGTAAAACTATTTCTATGGTGCGATTCATCCATTGTTCTCGCATGGTTAGAGAAACCCCCTTATGTGTGGAAAACCTACGTCGCCAATCGCATAACCCAAATCGTAAAAAACGTAGGAAATGGTACGTGGCGACATGTAAACAGTGCTGACAATCCTGCAGATCTAGGAACTCGAGGATGCCCTCCTCAAGAGCTTGTCTCCAAAGCCATATGGTGGCATGGACCAGACTGGCTCATCGAAACTCCAAAGGCTTGGCCCCAATCCCAACCACAAAGGACTCTACCTCCAGAGCAAAGAAAAATAAAAGTTTTCCATTTTAGCAAGCCCGAAGATGTACTAGACCAATTTTCCTCGTTTGGAAAAGCCTTGCGCATCATAGCCTACGTGTTTCGCTTTATCCAAAAATCTCGAAAGATCTCCCAAAACAAGGATTCCTTAACCCACCCGGAAATCCAACACTCAAAAACCCAACTAATTATTGTTGCCCAAAAACGTCACTATTGCGATGAATATTTACAATTATCGGCCACTGAACCCCTCAACAAGAAAAGTAGTTTACTATCTCTAAACCCATTTATTGACAAAACAGGTCTAATGCGAGTAAATGGTAGGTTGGCGCATTCTGGTTTAAGCTACAATGAGCGTCATCCCATCATACTGCCCGGAAACTCCAGATTTTGTACACTTTATTTAAATTTTCTCCACACAACTCTCTTGCATGCGGAAAAATCTCTTATGGTTCGTATGACTCAGCAAGAGTTCTTTGTCCCACGTTTGCAATCGTACATAAAAAAGTGTATAGTTCAATGTAAACTCTGCACTATTCATAGACAAAACGTTCGTTCTCAAATAATGGCAGCCCTTCCTCCCGAAAGAGTTACGTTGTCGGTACCATTCCACACTACCGGTGTAGATTTCGCCGGCCCTTTTTTGTTAAAAGCCGGTTTAACCCGTAACGCACCCTATCATAAAGCTTACACTTGTGTATTTGTTTGTTTTGCGACAAAAGCAATTCACTTGGAAGTCTGTTCAGACTTAACCACAAGTGCATTTTTAGCAGCGTTCGCACGCTTCGTAGGGCGACGAGGAATGCCCGCGAAAGTTATGTCCGATAATGGCAAAACATTTATCGGAGCTCATCGCACATTACTCAAAGACTATGCAAATTTCCTTACCCAGGTGTCTGTCGAGACCTCTAAAAAATACGAAACTCATGGGTTTGAATGGCAGTTCATTCCTCCATACGCTCCCCATATGGGCGGCCTGTGGGAAGCTGCCGTTAAAAGTTTCAAAACCCACTTCATAAAAGTTGCTGGCACCCAAAAATTCACTTTCGAAGAATTTTCAACGCTTCTTATACGCATAGAGGCAGTTTTGAACTCAAGGCCATTATCACCCATGTCCGAAGATCCCACGGATCTCCTAGTGCTCACTCCGGGTCACTTTCTCCGAGGCGCACCCCTTATGGCTATCCCGGAGCCAACTGAAGAAACCCTATCCTTAGCCAATCGCTGGCAAAAATTAAAAATTCTCCATCAGGAATTCAGTAGACGATGGAAAGCGGAATATCTACGCGAGCTTCACAGACGTCATAAATGGCGACAACCCCAGAAGGATATTGAGGAAGGAGAGTTGGTAGTTGTCAAAGATGATCTCTTGCCACCACAGGAATGGTGCCTTGGAAGAGTACTCAAACTCCATCGAGGCCCCGATAACCACATTAGAGTCGCTGAGGTCAGAACTCAAGCTGGGATTTATACCCGACCAATAGTCAAATTATGCCCTCTACCTCCTCCACTCACTCATAACTCTAATTGAATAACTCGTCTACCATATAGTCCAATCAGCTCAAATACTTATAACACTATTATTTTCTAATTACAGTCCATTAGCTCCAACTCTACCAACTCGTACTAATTCACTTGTTGATCTTTTACAGAACCCCGGATGTATATCAGTGTCAACTGTGCTGCCGTTTTCATGCTCTGCAAACCTGCGCTTGTTTTCGAGAGATGAGTGTGGCCGATCGCATAGAAGCTGTCCGCGTTCATAAATATTGCATGAACTGTTTGGCCCGATCCCACAAGACCGGTGCATGCCCATCTCGGAATAGCTGCAGAATATGTAAATTAGGACACCACACGCTTCTTCACCGCCCAACTGCCAATTCCACTGGGGAACGCAAACCTGCTCAACATGCTGTGGGACGCAGATCGAAACGCGAGACAGAACGCCGCTCTACGGCAATGAAGACATCGAAGTCGAAGTCACTTACGGCCCGCTTTAAACCGCGGAATTGTCCGTGTGGACGCCTTTTGTTATCAAGGAAACCCAATGCCGTTTCGCGTATCGACAGCTAGACAGCCTACTAAATGTTGCACCCGTGCAAGGGCGGCGGCATGTCGACGATGAAGGAGAGCGAGGTGGCAACCTCACTCTATTCGACTAGTTTCTAAAATTCCTCTAAACAAAAATCCTCCAGAAAGTTGTTTTTGTATAAACTCACTGAATTTATCTACTGAAGTATGAAATGAAATTGAAATGTAAAAAGCTACAATTAAAGATATAAGCGCGACCGTCGTACAGCACGGACGTGCCTTTGAGTCATTTTAAGTCTCAACTCGATTTAATTATAGAATTTCGTACATTTGTACCTCTTTATTTAAAGTCATTAAATATTTTATCCAAAGAAAATCTAACTCTTTTATTCCTCGTTCCGACCGAAATCTCCCTTTAATATAGCGGCGCTATATTAAACAAAATTTATTTGCGAAGATTTGTTTATTCCATTTATTGAAAGGCAACCACGTGGAAAAGCTTATCGTCACTAGAGACGAATAAAGGCGCGCTAGTGTTTAAACGGCGAAAAAAGACGCATGAAAAAAAAAAGTACGAAAAAAGGCGCTTAATAAAAACTTCGGTGAAGAAAGACGCGTAATCTTAGATTTATACTTGGCCAAGAACTGTCACTTCAGCATTATTCGCCAAAAACTCTTTACGGAATGTACATACTATTACAACCGCAAACATAGTTGACCGCGAAAATAAGTTTACGCATCCTTCTTCCCCGTCAAATATTTTAACGCGCTTTCTTCGCCGTCAACTTTGTTAAGAGTCTTTCTCCGCTGAAGTTTTTTTATGCGCCTTTTTTACGGTCAAATTTTGAGCTCGCGCCTTTATTCGTGTCTAGTGACGTTATGTTAATTATATTGATAACAGAACCTGGCAGCTCGCACTCTGCCTAAATTCTCACTGCGTATATTTCCATCAATATCGCCATATATAAATTTTAGCAACACACAAAAATAGAGCTTTCGCACGAATGTTTGCGTTTTCATCACTATTTATAATTATCCTTAAATTTATTTATCTAATAATAATGCGGCACACAACCCTGAAATCTAAGAAAAAGTCTGAGGAAGGCCTTTAAATAACAGCACACAACCCAGTGCCTTCCTCAAGGGTGAATATAGCTACAACAACAACGATCACTACAACAACAAACCTGTCCCCACTACTGTTTATTTATTACATTTCTAAGCTTCCTCAACCACCAGATGGTGTCAATATTGTCTCTTATGCTGACGATTGTTCGATCATGGCGTCTTTACATAATAATAGTGATGAACTGCTAAAACTTTAAGTTACCCAAAAATGCTATATCGCGTAAAAATTTTACTCAGAATAAGATTATTTTCTTTGTAATATGCTTCGGCGCCACAGTCGACAGTATAGAAACATAGCCTTTTGAGCCAACTTCTGGTTGAGATCTGATTAAGTACTTAACCAGACATGGAGCAAAAGGCCCTAAATATGACAGCGAATTTAATCGGGATTTTTGTTTTAATTCAAAATAACTCACATTTTCTTCTCTAATGCTTTGTATTGATTTCCGGATTTGAATGTTTTTTAAGAATCAAAGAATTTATTTTCAGATAAATGCGGAAAGATATGAAGACGATGAATTACTTGCTACTATTCGTAAGAACCGGAATTACACATTCGAAGATGAGGTAAAATGACAATTTATTTACTCATTTATATCGTCGTTTAAGGTGCAAAACCGTGTATCAACAAAATGCAAAACCGCGTATCAGCAAAATGCAAAACCACGTATGAGAAGTTGTAGAAATTATTTTCTAGAAAGTAAAAGTACTCATATTTCAAAATAGCTCTATTTTTATAAAGCAATCGCATTTCTGGCTAGTATATTTCAGGACGAATTGATACGGATTGAGACAAGAGCTTGTGTGAGCAATCCAATTTTTGGCAGTCAATGTCAGTTACGAGGTTTTGCAGAATGACGATACGCGGTTTTGTACTTTAAACGACGATATTTATAATTATTTAATTTAATTTATATTAATATAATATATATAATCTTTAGACCTTTTGTCACGTTTTTAACATTTGTGGGTGGTAACAGCATAAGAATTGGGAAAATGTTTTAACAATGTGCCAGACCCTGAAAAAGAGAGGTATGTAGGGAGGTAGAGGGGGTTCCCACATTATAAAACCGAAAACCCCATCTGCAGTAGGATTACAGTTTAAAAGTTATTCGTTGTTAAAATCGCGAAATGTTGCATGAAAATATTGTGGCGAATAAAACAAAGCACGAATGGCCGGCCAAAGCGAATAACGAGAGGATGACGGAATACGCGATAAAATATGTAGAAGCTCTGACATCAAGAAACCTCAAATGGAATGATCGATGACTTTCCATAAAACTTTCTAGAGTTGTGATGAGTGCGAGCACCGGTATATAAAGGCCGTGCTACATCGCACGTAAATTACAGAGATCAATTGCCTTAGCAAGTATTGTTATGTGTTTTAATTGCTTTAGCAAGTATCACGGTGTGCCTGAACCAACATTAAATCTAAGGTCATTGCGTATCATGTTTTTTTTTTGCTAATTTGTGTTATTTATGTTATAAATAACATTTTCAACTTATTGTTCTTTATTGAAGATATATTAAGATTTACTTTCTTAGATACACTTTATATTTCCTTCTTTGTTCGCGTGGTTCAGCGGTCCGGAAAAAGAGTGAAGTTGGTTGTCTTTCCCTAATACCAACTTCACAGCTTATATAGTACAGTGTTGCTTCATTAAGTACTGTTTACAACTCGGCCGACCATGACCGACCTCGGTCATCGAACTTTATATTACATTTATGTTTAGATTATATTTAGAATGTCTTAGGTACTAATATTTACATGCTGTACATTACAGTGTTCAATGTATAATTACAATAATGTACAATTCATCTTAAATTCCAACGCTTAACTGCTATGTATTATGTTACAGGGTAAGTTTATAGCCTATCATTATCCGTTAGACTCATCAGCAGAAGCCAATAATGATAGAATACAAGATTGCGCCGATTGCAGCAGAATTCGTGAGAGTAATTTTGGCGTGACGTCACCGTAGAGTTGACAACTGAGAGCGGCAAATAAAACTGCTGTTTAGTGACTGAATTGTCGGTAATACTTGAAAAAGGTTTCGGTACCCAATACTTCCTTATCGGTACCCGATACTGATTCTTTACATTAAACCTTGGCCATTATATGCATTTTAAGTTTAGATAAAAACTTTCATTACTAATTTATATGATATCGGCTAAAAACACTTGAACTTATGGCAACAGAGAAATATTATTTTACCAGTTTTAACCCTAGTCGATCCAAGGTTCAAGAAAAATACTTTGACGGATGAAGAAGCCTTTCAGGGAGGGATATTCTGTAACCAGTTAGCGACAAGTTTCGGATCGATATCGCACTTGTTGACGTAAAAATACTTCATATCATACGTCAACAAAACCGATACTGATTCGAAAATTGTCGCCAACTGGTTACAGAATCTGCCTACAAAAGTGATATCGTCAGATTCAGCTGGAACAAAAATGCTTCAAACAAGTAAGAGTTTCTATGTATTATGACCTCGAACCGATATATATACATCTTTCATTTGAATCAGTATTAAAAGCTCTATTGGCTCCTACATTCGGGTTTTGATAGGCGAGTCTTCCCTGAACCGTTTTTTCCATATTTTTGGCCTATGTGCGCTTTTATTCGAATCCTAAAAGTTTCGGTACCGAGTATCGAGAGTATTGGATACTCAGCACATCACTACTGCTGTCATCTCGACTGTGACGTCAGCAAAACAGCTTATTCTGTCAAATTCACTGAGAGCCGATTAGCGGTATTGCCACCGGCGCCACCTTCTGTATTCTCTCCACCGTGAGCAGAAGCGACCTTTTCAACGTTTTTATCAACCCACTTCCGCACTCTATTCGCTTCAAGAACACCATTATACGGCAGCTGAGTTAACTGGCAATTGTCCACGTCTCTTATGACATATCTGTCATTTCCTAAAACCTTAAACACTATATAGGGCCCTTTGTATTTAGGGATGATTTTCTTGTTTGTTCCCACTACTGTATCTACATTTCGTATAACTACAAAGTAACCTACTTTATATTCCTTCGCCTTCAGGCTATTCTTCAGAAAATGACTTAGATTGCATTCTTGCCTCTTATCAAAAGCTTCGGATGCGCTCAATATAATTTGCTCTAAATCTCGTGGAACGTTTTGATTTACTTTACCCTCTATGTACTCCGTAAACTCATCTCTCTGCTCGACCCCAAATAGGAGTTTTCTTGGGGAACTTCCCGTAGTACTGTGATTTGAATTGTTAATGGCATATTCCACTTGAAGAAGTTTACTTGACCAGTCCGCATGATTGATTGGTTCGGTAAGCTTTCCCAACATCGTCATGAAGGCCCTATTTACACGTTCTACCTGTCCGTTGGCTTGTGGAGAAGCAACCGCTGTTTTTACATGAATTATATTTATTTTTATTAAAAAGTTCTCGAATGCTAGTGACGTAAAACAAGTACCTCTATCGCTTATAATTCTCATCGGCCTACTATAATAGCTAAAATATTTATCTAATGCTGCATTAACCTCCCGAGTTCTTGTAGAATTAGTGGGATAAAGTTTTACGAACTTCGTACGCTATACGCTTGGACTGTATTGTCGGCAGCGGATCAAAATGGTCAATATGGATTGTATCAAACGGCACTGGCCTTTTAGGTATGTTATAGAAATTCCTTTCATTTGCCCGAACTGGCATCGCATACATGATGTTCAGACAGTTTTGAACGAACTTCTCAACTTTCAGCTTCATTTTCGGAAACCAATAATACAAACAAATTTTCGTCAAAGTTTTGTCAACAGATTGATGTCCTATTTTCTCATGCATTAGCCTTATAACATTATCTTCCATTTCTCTAGGCACATATAACATGGTTTTCCCATCTCCCTTTACTTTATAAACTAGCCCGTCTGATAATCTAAAGTCCTTTACGTCCTCCTTTTCCATACGTTTTTTTAAATCTGTTATCAAATCGTCACGTTCTTGAGTTAATTGTATATGAAACTCGGCTTCGTTAACATCAACGTTAGCAATTTGACATCTACTCAACGCGTCAACATGACCCATTTATGACCCCATCTTGCTATTCGTGCATTTACCTGGGCATGAATCGCATAATACGACAATCGTCTGAATGATATCGTGTCGAGATTGTGTTGCTTCATGAAAACCAAAAGTTGTTTGATCGTTTGTGCGATATCGTCAACTTAGTTCCAGTTGTAACAGCAACCTAATAGGGCATTCGCACGAGGCGATTTTACAGGCAACAAAAGTTGAATACGAAGTTGAATGAGAAGTTGAAAGTGAAAAAGTTGCCATCCCTATTCAGACGAGGCGATTTTCGATTCAACACGAATCGTTATTTACATTATTGAAAATGAATTTAAATCGCAAAATTTTATCAATTGGCGTAAATTTGGTAAGCCAAGCGTTGGTAGAAGTGCTTTTAGCAAAGCTGAAAGATAAAATAAGAGTAAAAAAGTAGATAAGAAGAAAATGTATACAGAACAGTGTTGGCATTTTTGGTACAATTGTATTTGTTTGATACAATTTCATCTACTACATCAACTAGCAACACCTTCATCAAAGAAATCTTAAAAAACTTAGTTATATTCAAATTTAATGGGCTAAAAAACCGCACGCTCAAAATAAATCTAGGAAATCGAATTAAAAAGCTCGAAGTTTTTACGAAAGTGTGTTGGTTTTTTTTAATGTTGCACAAAGTTTGAACCTTGAATTTGTACAGCTCTTCTTAAAATATAAACCGTATTTTTACAAAAAATAATTAAAATTGAATACTATTAAGATAAATGGTCAAATCTTGTCGTAAAGTTTTGATAAGCACTTGAAATGCTATTAAAATGTCAAATTTTAGTACTGAATCCAAAGGAAAATGTCTCTTTTATCCATTAATAATAACTTAAATATGCTTTTTGTTAAGATGTATACCTGAAAATGTGTGCATACATATTTGCGTTAAATGCAGTACATGTGCACGTGGAATCAATTTGTAAAAGTGTAAACTACGTAAACGTATGTACATAAACAATAAAACTTTCTCATGAATACCATAAATTCATTGGTCTTGAAGGGAATGTACTAAGAAAATATATGAGCGAATTAAAAAGTGTATACAATTTATAGCCGAAAAGTACATTTTTTGTATAGATTTCGTACTGAAGGAACAATTTAATTTCCCAACACTGATACAGAATGTAAACAAACACAGGGTTGCAAGGAAAAAAAGTTGAACGAGCTCAAAGTTGGCTGGCGACCAACTTTGTTGAAAGCGATTAGTTGAAAGGCCGTTCGGACGAGGCGATTTTTGCTTTCAACTAAAAGTTGCCTGAAAAATCGCCTCGTGCGAAAGCCCTATAAATGCATAAATCAGTGTTTTTACGAGGTCGTTTTATCAGTATCGTTTGAACGACTATCGTTTCAAATTTACGTGATTCATGCCCTGCTTCTTCCCAAAGTCATAGCAAGCGAGTTACAATCCATAACGATCTTAAATGGAATTCCTTCCAGATATTCTCTAAATCTTTTCAGAGCATAAATGATTGCCAATTGCCAGCTCAA